AAATAATGTACTATAACATATTTTTAAACAAAGCCGGTCGTGTTTTAGGCCGGATGGATATACGCACAGAAAATAAAAGTCCACAACCGTTTTTGGAGTTCTACGATATAATGTTTTATGTAATTAGTATTACGGTTCTATTTGTTTTACTAATAAATAAAATTGTTGAAAATGTTCAAGGTCGTGAACACGACGGTGTAATGTGTATATATTTATAAATGAAACCAGATTTCGGTAGTGAAATCACATAATACTAACTCGTCATTAAGCGAGTATGTAAATGAGGTTCTCTGATTTAAACACTAACGGTGTAATTTCATATTAGTTTAAAATTTTTAATGAATAAACCGCGACTAATCGCCGTTAATTCGGTCAAAAAGGCAAATTGAATCATTTAAAAGTAAAATCGCGCTGGACTCCCGTTACTATATTAAACACAATTACGCAACACTACTTAGTGACTGAGCATAAATGTTTTAACTAGCATCACTAAGCTAATTTCTCATTGGTTATTTCTTGAATATATGTATAACAATAGATGATACACCTCACGGTCTACCGGATGTAAGGGATTGTGAGACTGCTAGTACAAGTGCAAGCTTCATTTACATTTAAATAACTATTCGATTTAGCGGTAACAATTTATAGTACTGTGGTACCAGCCCGAACGGTCTCGACATGTACTTTAATACGCCCATCATCAATCTCCTGCCTTTCCTCAGTTAGTTGAGGTCGGAGTAACATGTTTTCTCCTTCCATACTCCTCTATCATATATGTACCATTTCTTCGCTCACTCCCCTCGTACACATATCGTATTTCACGCAATCCATCCAATTTTTCTTAGGTCCACCTCTTCCTCTAAAGCCTTCCATATTCATAGCTAAAACTCTATTACCAACCTCATTGTCATTTCATCTCATCACATGTCCATACCATCCCAAACGTGCACTTCTCAACCTCTTTGTCACAGGTGCCCCTGTCAGACTGCCTCTAACATGTTCATTCCGTATTCTATCCATTCTCGTTACTTCACACATCTATCGCAACATTCACCCATTAATAGGCACATCCTTGGTCGCATATCCTGAAGCTGTGGGGATTTTCGTTCCAGCGGAAGGAATTCGTTAAGACCACCGGTACTTTTTGTTTAGTGCTTAAAACAAATGATTCTCCATGTGACCTGTATCAGTTACCACAGTTTTAGTGTGGCCTTAAAGTACCCCGTTTTTTTTTCTCATCGGAATACTAGTTACGGGAAGCTCTCTCCTGAAACACTACTTCTTTGGGTTTGGTCGTGCGAACTTTCTCGGTCACTTCTCACCGCAGTTGCTGGAGAAGTCTTAGAGTAAAGTTGCCATTTCCACAAGGTCAGTGATCACGTCCCCGACCTTGTCTGTTTTATGCTAATGAAGAACGACTCAATTTGAAACCGAAAGTTCAAGGTTCACATTTTTTTGGCGTCATTGTCGTTGTGAAGAAGTCGAGAGTGATATTATTATTGCATTGAACAAATAATCTCAAGATAAATGTTCACCCACGCCCCCTTCTGATTCTCAAAATGAATTGTAGTATTGTCATGGATTACGAATCACTATTTCGCACGAACCCAAGAAATTAGCTAAGGCTTAGTTTAGTGTTTTGATACATTTCATTTTCTCTGGTAGTGGAAAATCCAGTGCACGCTAATGATTCGACTTCCTACCTGGGTTATTCTTATCAAACGCGGCACAAATTCGGGTGACGCAAAGAAATTCTATTGTAACGCTATTAAAATCGCGAATTAAAAGCTAAAACGTTTTTTTGTTGTCGGTACAACGCAGACCTTGCCATGATGTCAGTTATCTCATGGTCGTTGCGATAGTGTGCGTGCGTTTTCGCGTCGGTGTGCGTAAGGGCCTGTTATAGGACGCGTGATGCACGACTCGATACTTCCTCGTGTGTACGGTTTTTGGGCCCGCTGCTCGCCTTGGCTTGATTGATCGGTAAACGTTGCTTGTTACGAATGTCGCTGTACGTGTGTGTGTGTTTCATGCGAGCTCTATATTTAATGATGAAAATACTCTTTTTTTTTTGACTAGTTGGATGAAAGAGCTTATTGCCTATATGGTGGGTAAATGGTTACCGGAGCCCTTGGAGGTCACGGCGTGAATGTCGCTGTCCACAATGAGATGTGAGGCACAAGTGTTGTGATTACAGTTCCATCCTTAAAACAGGGATGTATCAGAATATGTAACTTTCTAGGGTAATATTTTTGACTAAAAAAATTTCCATTTTCTTTCTTAGTTTTTCTTCTACTTCTCCAACTTTTCACATAGTGTAAAATAGTTGATTGTATTAGTAACATATTGGCTTACGATTTTTTTAATTATACCTAACGATCCGACCGACGATTAATCGGTTCATACATAATATATCAACAAGCATTGTTCGTGTCATTAGCAGATAACTAATGCATCGCTAGTGACGCGACTTGTTTATTCCTCTACTATAAAATTTATGAACGTAAACATTAAGAATATCGCAGACTATTTGAAGATTGATAGAAAATACACGCTATTCTATTTCGATTTGACATTATATAATGTATCGGGTGATTACCACGTCATTTCCTCCCGATCTACTTACGATGCTTTTAGGTACCGCAAGCACTGGTCACCGTTCTCGTCCAAGCCGTCGCTTGCGATGAAGGGTTCGGCGAGTAAATTAACCCACAGATACAGCCCACTGAGTTCCTCGCCGGATCATCTCGGTGGGTCGCGTTTCCGATCCGGTGGTAGATTCTGCGAAGCACTGCTCTTGCTAGGGCTAGTGTTGGTAACGTCACCAGGTTAGAGCTCCGTGAGTTCACATACTTGTTCGGTAACGCTGTTATAGCCCTCTAAGACTACCAGCATAGGTAGGAAAGAAAAAAAGCGTAATAAAAATGAACTAAAGTTACCTATTACGCAATTTTTAATATTCTTAATGTAATTTCGTGTAACAAATGAATAAGAATTATATATTTACAAAATTAACAACATGCGGGTACTTTAATCACTGGATTTCTCCGTAAATCGCTTAAATTACTGATGTTCAAAGGAATAACACCGTATAGAGGAAGGATTTCATAATATTATTATAAATTTCTACTTCTGCAGTTCGTTAGTGGAATGATTCACGCCGGTCGATCTAATCTTATTTATATATTTATTTCTAAGCCAGATGAACCAGCTCACGGTCACGGTCAGTGATCACCGAAGACCATAGACATCACCAACGTAAATGCCGCCACCCATCTTAAGACATGAGTTTTGAGTCTCAGTTTTTACAGTACAACGGGTGCCACACTCTTCAAACCGAAACGCATTACTGCTTCACGGCAGAAATAAGCAGGGTCGTGGTACCTACCCGTGTGGGATCACAACAGGCCCTACCACCAGTATTACTTTAGTCTATGTTGCTGAACTACTCTTTGAACCAGGACGCATGGTTACTCTGCGGTGGGATATTCATGACTGTAATAAGAACTCATGGGGACTTTATCTCTCCCTCTTATTATCCTACTCCTACTACTACTCCTATTATCAGTACTCGTATAGAAAGTAGGAGTATACTCTTATGTCTTTTGGACCGATACCACCTTACCTAGCCTGGTTCGCTTCAACTAACTAGTGTTCGCCAAATGATTTGAATGGGACTACATTCGCTAGTACCTCAAGATTTAGATTTACACTGAATTAAATTCAGTTTGTTTTGTAATTATGAAATTAATATGAAATAAAATTATAATAGACTAATAAAAATAAAAAAATCACAACAAAAAAGCTCATGAATGAACTCTTTTATCTTTGTCGATTTATTATTACATCATAAAATATCCTCTGGCAATGTATGCCCATGATTTTGCTATAAGAACCACAGTGGTCTTTAGGGCCGCTTCTGTTTAGCTCACGCGGGAGACCTATCGTTCTGCTGACGATACAAAGTCATCAAAGGGAACTCCTTGTTCTTCATTAGAAAATCTCGGAACCTTGTCCACGGGGCCGTCGAAAATAATAGAGCGCCTGCCAGCCCTGCGCGCTAGTTCGTTTTTTTTTCATCCAAAGGCACTCTCGAATGTAGGCGACCTTGCGTTTGCTCGAGTTTCGGGGTGAACCGCTGCGACGGGCATGTGTGCGTCACGTACCTACACATGCCGCGTCGCACCGAGTGACTTTGGAAAAAGGTTTTCTTTACCCGACTAAGGCTGCGTCGCACAAACCAAAGGTTATGTTTTGCGCGGGAATTATTAATCAAGCTATTAATTGATATGTGGAAGAAATCGTTACAATCAATTTGAGAGTCACATGCCCTTCCATTTTTTTCCGGTGACGTCAAAAGTATTCTTTACATTTGTCCTAAGTTTGATTCTTCTCCATTCAATCATTTTCTTTCTTCACTTTAAAACTCATCTTCCTTGTAGCCTTAGTAATGTTCTCGCTTGTAATAATACGCCATACCTCTTCTCTTTAGTTAAGTATTTGTTGCATCAATGCTTTACAGATATATATCGATAGGGTTCGACGAGAATGATAATCGGTGCTTGAGGTACCTAAAAGCACCGTTAGTGGATCGGGAGGATCCGAAATGACGTGTTTGGGGCAACGTCGACTGTTTACCATTCGGTCCGCAGGATCGGGAATGTAAAAACAGTAAACTCGACGCTGGTAATGGCGACATTGCAAGAAGCCGATTTCTATATTGAAATACATAAAAACTATTTTAGCAGAAGTACTCTCTATTGTCCTCTTTCTATTATCTACATATCAAGAGCAGTGCTTCGCGGAATCTACCGCCGGTAAATATATTCAACTTATCGAAACACGAGACATTTCTTCGCGATGATGATGCCCGAGACTATAAAGTGTAACTTAAATTCAATAAATATAAATTAGGTCATTTAATTATTCCCAAAACAGCACGTAAGCTATTTAAACAGCGCACAAAACCGTGTCTGCTAATGTTTATTATATGTACTCACATCTCGCTAATAGCCCTCACGGTTTCATGAAGATGGTTCGCTCATTTGTAACGCGCCATACCTGAAAACAATTAAATAAACGTTACAAAAAAAAAACCACGACCAGTAATCGACGAAAAAATACATACTTTAATCACGCTCGACCTCGAGTCGAAAAAAATATATATAAAGCTCAGAATGGAATCGTCCAGTCCGATCTAGCGTGCATACAATTAACACACCGTTTATCTACAAGGTTCGTAATGAAAAAAGAATCGTACACCCTAAAGATAAATTTATGGTATCAATAATCGTTTAGTTTTCAAGTACGCAGCAGGCAACCGGTATGATGCATTCGGCCTCGCGGGCAAACAGACGCTAGATAGCGCTAGACAAAGACGGTGCGAGGTCATGAGCGTAGCCTTGCGCGGGTGCGCGCGCGGCTCGCTTCCGCCTGTCGACGACGCGCACGCGCTGCCGACCGCACTCCACGTTCGACCGCCGAAACGAACGCACGCGCCCTCAACCAAAACAACTACCACAACAATAATAAAACACAGATTTCTTTCAAACAAATTATCATCGTGATTATTATCTTCTTTTACAGACTCGACGACCAAGGTCGGGCCCTTGCTAATCGCGTTAAGCAACTAACAAACATAATAACAAAAGTGTATCGACGATAACACGCGTTCATAACAAACACACTTCCTTGTAAATAATGACGATTATGTCGCTGTCGTCGACTGAACAATCTTACGAATTGCTCATACATAATCATTTCTCATCCCATCTGCCCACGCGCATGCGTAAGCAATTTATCTGCCACTGTGCGTCTGTGCAAGATGGTGTACTATTTACCCAAGACAGGTTGCTATGTATCAACCTCGAAGATTATTTAGACAGAATTATCAACATATTTCACAGGTATGACCAGCTATGGTTCAGTGGAATATGAAAGATGACTAACAAGTTGAAATGTTGATACGGATTATTGTCTTAATATGTAATTTAATTCTTTTATAAATCCAAAGAAAACGGTAAATCATTCTAAAACCGTAATTCTTGTATTACACTGACATGATGAGGACGCGTGCCAAGTATTCTCGCCAGCAAAACCTCTTATACTGTCAAAATGATGGCTTCATAGCGTACCATAGTTATATGCAAATTTGTCACCACACAGAAAGAATTCTCGTGCCAAATGAATCCGAAAGATATTGTGGAATGTTTCTATGCAGAAGAAATATTTTAATGCTAGGATGAGTACATAAATTACTTGAATTAGTCGTTGCGAGTGCGCGGCATTACGAGATAATAAAGCCTAGGAAAGATGATGGTACGCGGTAAATTGTCCGTTCGAGTACAAATAAAAGACTTAATAAATGAAACAATAATTAAATAGATTTTAAACCAGCCTCCATCCAATCATGAAAGAAAAACAAGTCACCAGTTGCCAGAAAACATGAATACGTGACCAGTCGCGAACCGAAGACCGTTTATGAAACTGCGCCATAAGCATCTATTAAATTTCTAATTAAGGTGTTACAAAGTTATTGTGAGTGCTGACTATTTTGTAGAGTGGACGGTCGTATGCAACCGACCTCGGTGACAGTCGTGTCGTGACCATCTTGCCAGCGCGGCAACCGTGTCTACTTGTGTACATAATAATATATCATATATAGAGTCTGCTGTGGACAGTGTTATGCAACATCTGAATTATGGCCATTTTCTCACTTCAATCTTATACTACATGAAAATAAATAAAAACATCACACGCCTTTCACAAAAGCTTTACATAATTCAAACATACATACATACATAGATCCAAATCCAATTATTAGAATGAAAGTTATTCAGCGTATTGCATCGACTTGAAATTGCTGTATCATTTAATATGGCGATTTGCATGCATCTCTATGTGTTAACGGGCCGTAACGTGAAAGTTTACGTTGGACGATGACGTGATATTATGTGATAAGTCTGAGATGAGATTTTTCAATGATTATCTCAGTTTGTAAGTGTTAAATTGACTTGTTAACTTGACCGCTAAGGAGTGAGGATGTAAAGAGTGTTTTGGTTAGTTTGTACCGTGACAGATACATTACGTATTCACCACGCAATCTTAATCTTAATCGTAAATTTTTATCTAGGCGTTTTTGTTTTTATTTTGTTACTTAGACGCAAATCATTGATGATGCTTTCGTTTGTGTTTACCACTAGCAAATTATTACGATATTATAAGTAGGTCGAAGGAATCATGCAACAGCACCTTTTAATAACAATGAGATTCTTGTCGCATTACTGCGCACTACCGTCCGAGCGTTGTCCTCGTCTCTATCTGTCACGGTCGCGCTACACTTCCTGGTCCCTGCATTTTGAGATGCAAGAATGTTAATGACTTCTATCAAAAATACAATGTAGCATACATTTATAATTTTAAGTCCATAACGTCACACAGCGCTGCAAGGATTTATGACGTCATAAACATGTATACCTATGCCGAAAAACTTAGCTTTAATGGAGGCGGCTGTGGTTAGAGTAATAATTAAAATGAAACAGAATGAAAATGCACAGACCAACTGTTTTTCAATAACGGTCCACTTTTGTTTCAAGCTGCGTTTTTTTTATTTTATTTTTTTTGCTTAGGTGGGTGGACCAGCTCACAGCTCACCTGGTTGTTAAGTGGTTACTGGAGCCCATAGACATCTACAACGTAAATGCGCCCGCCACCCACCTTGAGACTCTTACTTGTTTTATTAAGTTACTCTTATTTGTTATATTCATACCTATGTACATATAATTGAAGGGTAAGAGACCCTTTAGTCTATGGTCTCTGGTTATCACATAACAGCGAGCAAAAAAAAACTTTCTTCTACAGTGAAAGCATAATTTATAAAAATTCTGAATAACATATAAAAGTGAAAGAGCAAGAAATAACTATCATGTTCTGGATATTTATCAGAGTTCTCGTAACTACTTTTTGGGAAGCTTACATTGATAGTACACGCTTCACTTTATTGAGTTAATTTCAATGCTGTGCAATTATATGAATTGCGCAATAACAATTACGTTATTTGCGCGGTGTTGCGCAGCGCCGTCCGCGCTACGTCCTTGCTTCTAGCTGCCACGGTCGCGGAGTGCTTCCTGCTCTATGCACTTTTATTGAGAAAGAGAGAGCGGAGAGCGAGAGACAGAGAGAGAGGGCGGTCGCCATGTTTTCATAAAAACAAATTTATAGCTCACCAGTAGTCAACTGTGACGTGGAGCCGAACTTCCAATATCTATTTGATATACATAGGCATTCTTTTATTATTTCTTAGATGTATGGACGACCTCGCGGCTCACTTGGTGGTAAGTGGTTACCGAAGCCCATAGACATCTACAACGTAAATGCCGCCACCCACCTTCAGACATGAGTTCATGAGGTCTCAGTTTTTTAACAGTACAGTACAACGGCTGCCCCGCCCTTCAAACGAAACGCATTACTGCTTCACGGCAGACATAGGCAGAGTGGTGGTACCTAACCATGCGGACTCACAAGACGTCCTACCACAGTAAAAAATATTATTTATAAAAAAATAATCCCATATCTCGTGAGCTTTTGAATTAGTAAGAACATCATCAAATTCCCATTAAGTAGTTTTTGTTTTTGGGTGATGGTCCAGCGAACCAATAAACAAATAGACGAAGCATACACAAAAATTTTCAACTAAATATATGTACACACCTTTATAAGGCTTTAGGTTAGTAAGTTGGGTATACTATATATTATTATATATGTATATACGAGACACGAGTATATTTTAGATAAATGGACGGAGCATGTTGTTTTGTAGTATTGGAAGCGTGTAGCGGTATCGATTCTGAATATGTAAATTGTCAACAACATCCGGAATGTCTGCTCGTGCGATATCCGTTAGACATACGAAAAAAAAAATAAAAAAATTCCCCCCTAATGTATTTAAATCGCTTGCTGATTGATGGCTTCAGTAGCGTTGTTGTATTTTGAGCACTAGTATAGATGATACACACAACAGAGCGAATGTGATTAATGTAAGTTAATTAGTCCTTTAGATCGAAATGCGTTGGAACAGCGGATTTTTCTATGTTTTAATAATAAATATTTGCTCAGCGGTAAATGTGGGCAGTGAGTACACACGTTCGAGGTTACAATTCGGCTTATTATCAACTTTTTTTTCCTACCTCAGCTGATAGCCTTGAGAGGCTATTTCAGCGTAACCTTAATTAGTAGGTGAGCTCACGGGACCCAAACCGGAGTGTTACTAACACTGACCCTAGCAAGAGCTTCGCAGAATCTACCACCGGATCGGTAACGCGACCCACTGAGAAGATCCGGTGAGAAACTCACTGGGCAAAATAATCAACACTTAAGATAGGACAGTACTAGTCGCTTGGCGGGATCAGTGTCCTACTAAAAACATTTAAAACCTGCTCGGCGAAAAATTCAAGGATACTTACAGCCTAGAGTCTTAATGTCAATACATCGTCAGTCGGGTTCAGCTAAAGATCAAAATTTCGGCCTTACTATAAAAATAACTTTAAATAAATCCTTTCTTTTTTCCTTACCTATTCACTGGTAGCCTAAGGAGGTATTTCACGGACAGGTAGGTGAACTCACGGGCTCATCCTAAGACAATTTGCTGACACTAGCCCTACCAAAAGAAGTGCTTGCAGAATCTACAACCAGATCGGAATCGCGACCCACTGAGAATCTCCGGCGAGAAACGCAGTAGCCAAATCCTTTCCTTTAAAAGTTGACTCGACGAGGCCTGAAAATCATTGAACTCACGGCCAACATAGTTTCGATTTGATAATCAATGTCACGATAACAGATAACATATAGATGTGTTATAACAAAAAACGTATTATGGTAGTCCGCGAGCATGTGTTCGGGGCGTGTAACTTATTCTTGACAGCTCGCCTGGTTATATAGTACAAGGCTCCTGATGCATTGTAGTGAGTAGGCTTGCACTGATGTAGATAGCGTATTGTGAACCGGCATAGGTCCATTATTTCTACCTATGCTGATAGCCTTGAGAGGCTATTTCAGCTTCATTC